ATCGTGAGAATTCCCTGTTGAAGGAAAATAAACGGAAGCAGAAGCTCACAATCTCATCCGACTTCTCTCTCGCTAAAATAAATGATGCAAAAAATAGAAAACGCTTACAAAGTCGCCGTCCATGTTGGTCGCCTGCAGCGTCCACCTGGAGCCCTGTGGGGGAAACGCAGCTCTCCTTTAGGCTTTGGATTCTACCTGGACACCTTATATAGGATGTGTGTTTGTACTCAGTCACCTGCTGGTCATAGAGAGCCCAGAACATGGGCAGAGGGATGTAGAGGAACAGCACCTTCAGCACCATCTTCACCTGGGCTATCAGGAGTTTCTGGAGCCAAAGAAAGACGAGGAGGAGGATTCGGATCAAGTCGCTGACCCGGGATGGTTTCAGTTCATGTGCTCGTGTGCTGCGCTTACGTCGTACTTCTCCTCAGCCCAGTCCATCCAGTGGGTTCTCTTTGGGAATTCATTGGTGCGGTGCCTGAAACGGTTCTTGATGGCAAACTGCAGATAACAGAGAGGGGGGGGGTGTGATTTTTTCGCTCTCACTGGAATGAATCTTAAATAAAAACTTTAGCATTATTATATGAACAAAAAAGCACGACAATATTCATGTCACTTTTTCAAACAATTGGAGAGAAATTCATGTAAATTCATGTAAAATGTAAACATTTAGATTTAACATTCAGATTTAACATTTACATTTAGATTTAACATTTAAATTTAACATTTATTTACATTTAACATTTATATTTACATTTAACATTAAGATTAATGAACACGTTTGTGTTACTGACAAACATTATCCTTGGAAAGGTTATTGCATGACATGTCAATTTCTCTCTAAATGTTTGAAAAAGTGACATATGAATATTGTCGTTATTTTTTGTTCATATGAAAATGCTAAATGTAGCAAAACTGCACAGGATTTTAGAACGTGCAACATTTTACAAACGGTGCCCCATAAGCAACTTACGCCGATGCAGGTGAAGAACTTCACCATGATGTTGCCTTGAGGGGGGGTCTTAATGTACATGCCGCTTCCAACAATGAACACGACTGCAGACACGCACAAACAAACACACCAGATGTGAAACATTTGCTGCTCTTAGAAATGATCAACAAATAAAATAGGTCATTGTTAGTGTGTTATTAACATAATGCACTCAAATATGTGTTATGAAACACACTTTATAGGGGGTAATAAAAGGCTTTTAACAAAAAAATTAATAAATAGTTCATCAGTAAATTATCAGTTTTCTTCAGTAATAAACTGCAGATAAAAACATTGTAACCAGAAGTTGTCATCACAAATAGTTTGTTTATTATCTAAAATCAATATCTAATTCATTAGAGGGGCCCTCCAACTATTTAGCATTGAACTTTTATCGAGTTGTGGACAGTCGTGAGATACAAAATTGAGGTAGAATGATGTTTATTGACTTTAAGTCAACCTCTTAAAACTCTGGATCCTACAATCCTCATAACTGAGAAGCATGTTTCAGACTGCCTGGTAAACTGTGACATCATCGGGTCATTTTGGCAAAGCTGGCTTAGCCCCTATCTGCTAAGTGAAGTCAACATAAATTAAAAAAAATCTTACTCAGAGACGCCACCATGAGACCAGCGGGGACGCCGAAGGCCAGCGAGTAGCACTTCTGCTTGGTGTATATACCGCACTCCTGACCTGGAAAGCACAGCACACACAGACACACGTTCTGATTGTGCGTTTAACTCGAGGGCCATTTGTGCAAATCGTGCTCCGTGGTCAGCGGTACCTCTGAGGATGGGGGTGATGATGGTGGACAGCAGGCTGCCAGCGTTGATGGACAGGTAGAAGATGGAGAAGAAGGTGCCTCGCTGCTTCTCCTGTTGGACGTGGCAAAGAAACAGGGATGCATATTTTCCCATGATTATTTTTTGCCTCACTGAACTCTGAGTCTCTATTATGGGGTAATCTTTGTCCCTGGCCTTGAACGCTGTAATAAGAGCAGATGTACCTGTGGTTATTAGTTAATAAACAACCAGCTGCAAACAAATAGAGATACAACAAGTGCTGACAGAAGGCAAACTGATAGCCGAGTGAGTTGTTTTAAATTGCCTGCGTGTTTCTGAACATGCAAGAAAGAGAGGGACTTAACACACGGGTCCTGCATCTGTACATGTTAACAGGGGAATTGTGTTTTTTGCCATACAAAAACACAAATTGACAGAACATAATTCATAATTGTACTCATATGATATTTACATATTTAAAAGTTCTCTTAGGATAAGTACGAGACGGTTTGCGTGTTTGCTTGAGTGACATCCAACCTGGTGGTCTTGAAACTGATCGCCGCCAAAGGCCGACACGCAGGGCTTGATGCCCCCTGTTCCCACGGCGATGAGGGCCAAGCCCAACATGGACAGAACTCTGAGGGCAAAGCACGGCGGAGACACAATGTCACTACTCGTCTTTGTGTCCGCTGTCTTTGCGTCACGCCGCTCGGTGTGTGGTCAACTCACATGTGCAGGGTCATGTTGTCCGGGGTGCCGTCCCTGTTCGTATCTGTGATGTCATGGATGGCACTCACTGCCAAGACAACCTGTCCCACCGTGTAGACGATGGACAGGTAAACAATAGTCCTGGACGGGGGAGGGGGGGCGAAGAGTGAGACAGGTGTACAGGTTTACGTAACTTGGTTGCAGGGTAAAAGATTTGCAGGATGTGAAACTTACTTGAACTTGCCGAGCCAGGAGTCGGCCACGATGGCTCCCATGATGGGCGTCAGGTAACAGAGAGCCACAAAGGTGTGGTAGATGGTGGTGGCAAAGTCATCATCCCAGCGCAGAAAGTACTTGAAGTACAACACCAGCACGGCTGCACACGGGGAGAAAGTATTGATGAGTCGGATCGGGTATTATTAACATCCTTTCCTTACACCACTGTGCAAATATGCCATCATGTAGTCCAAGTGGAGGTCCTGCATTCACAACTGTATTCACGCAGTACATATACGTATATAGCCATATCTATTTATACTGACAGTGTAGGATTTTGTACTTGTTTACACTTTGATGTATTGTCCTTTATATTCCTCAAAATTGTACTGAAGTGCAGAACTTGAAAACAAACAACAAAAAATGAAACCTAATTAACAAATGATTAGAGACCAGCTCACCTCGCATGCCATAGTAGGAGAAACGCTCGCAGAACTCATTGACCACAATGAAAAAGATACTTATTGGAAAGCCACAGACAGTCGCCTGTTAGGGAGAAAGAAAACAGGGTCTTTCAAGGCCCGATTGTGATCATTTACTTTGTTAATTACCATGAATGAATGCGTATGGTTTCCCCTAAAAACTGATGTCCATATCAGAGCATTAAGCAATAAATCTGTGCATATTTGTAAATACTTGAGAAACAGTTGTACTTACACTTTTTTTCTTGGGGTCCTTCCCCTCGTCTTTGGCTGGCAGGAATGAAGTGGGATGTCAAACATTAAATGCGAACGCAAAGAAGCAAACCATTTACTAAAAGTAAAAGTCAAATTCATGATATAAAGAAGCATTACAAAATAATTATAATATCAGATTACTCTACAAACGTGCAGGCAGATAGATCCGCAAAATGTGAGAGTGCGTCGCCTGAGCATCCAAGTCTCAGGGCCCCCATCCAGACCGGCCCTCACCTGCCATGGCTCCTGTGTGTGTCAACCTGCGGGTCCCTTCTCCGACTGAATCCTTTGGCAAAACAGAGACCTGTGACCTCTGTCCAGATCAACGAAACCAAGGCCAGACCTAGTCAGCTTCTTATACAACCTCCCATAAACCCTCCTGCAACGCCTACCGATGCCGGGGCGTGACACACACACACACACACACACACACACACACACACACACACACACACACACACACACGCACACTCACACACTGCATCCAACACCTGCCAACATGCAACTCACCGTCACTCCCACTTCCATGCACACTCTCCGTATCACAATCAGAAGTGTGTGCGTGTGTGTCAGTCACTAATTACTTTATGACTTGTCTTGTTTTACAGATCTAATGATAGTTGGGTGATAATATATATATTTGGCATCCGGTATAAATGCAAATGTTAATTTGCATTTAACACTAACACTAAATGTGATGTGTCATCAGCATCACTAGCATGAGCTGGCAGGGAGCATTACAAATAATAGAAGCTAGCAAGTTAGCCAAGTGAAAAAGGTACATGTATTTTTTGTTACGGTATCTATAATTGCACCGTTTATTGGGCTCCTCGGGGACACTTTCGGTTGAGCTAAGTAGCCACACAGTCCTCTATTGCTCCACTGGTTTCACACATACATACACTAATGTTTTTGCGGGGACGTGGGAGGGAAGAACCGCCAGGTCAGCAAGTGAGCGCAGTCCAGCGTCCATAGTGCAACGTCTCAGCCAATAACTGTTTGCTAAATGCAAGCTAATGTTATGTTAGCTAACAGTTAGCTAATGTTAGTTAACATTTAGCCATCAAAAAGGAACAATTTACGTTGAAACAGAACAAGTCGATGTCCTTCATCGCTTGGAAATTAGCAACCATGTGTTAGTTTGTGTTTAATTTTCATTTCTTTTCATTCTTTCATTTCTTCTTAAATGAAAAATGGGAAAAATTGTATTTTACTTGGTACTATTTACTTAACTGTCAATCCAGAACCATAACGTTAACCTTTGACGTGTCCAGTCATATTTCTATCTTTTGCCACACTTTCGTTCCTGGGCACCATATGAAGACTTCGGTTACTAGAACACAACGTTTAGTGTTTTAAAGTTGTTCTGAAACCACAAAAAGGAGCTTAAGAAAATGAGAATGTGTTTGAGGCGTGAGGTACCGTGTGCGCTTTCAAAACTAACAAAAGGAAATAAAATGCTTTTGACATTCTTCAACTTACAAGCCTTCAAAGTAGATCTTCAAACAATTAGGGGGATGATATTTTGGTAGCTGTATGATGAAAGGTCAAAAGCGAGGCATGGAACAAGGTATTATTGACGTTTTTTATATATTTAAGACTTATATATAGTAGCAGTCATTAAGTAAAATGTTTTTTTAAAACCTTACCCCACAGATAATAAAAGGCATCCACATGACAGACACAGAAACAAAGGAGGGAGATTACAAACTGTCTTTTTTTCTAATGTCTTTGGCAAGAGTGGTTTTCTGTGCAGCAAGTAGCCTCGCCAACAATACAAAATATTGCACACATTTTTCTTTACAGAAGAAAAAAAAAGGTTTAATCGTTGCGGTTCACTTGGCTTTAGACAATTTCTATACACGTCCATTGGCCTAAAATAGAGCGAATGATTCTTTCAAACGTCCAATGTGAGATAAAAGATAAACTCTGATGCATCTGCTGTAACGGGGGCGCAACTGAAAAGAATAGAAAAGGGGAAATGTAAAAATACTGTGTATCAGCTGTAGAACAGCTGTAAACGCTGTCTCTTAGATGAATGGGAGCCCGACGGTAAAAAAAAAAAAAGCAAAAAAAGTTATACTTGGGTAAAATACAAATACTGAAGTCCCTCATGTTCGTTCTCACACTCCTTTGGTGGAGCTTTTAAAATAGCGCTATGTTGCCAGTCACAGGATGCACGCTTGCAGTGCTTCACCCGTCCTGCGTAGGATCAAACAAACAAAATGACCCAAAACTGGCTTTAAGTCGACAGAACGAACTGTTAGCAAGTCAACAGCATTGACTGGAGTCTCCATAGGAAACAAGAGCAATGGGCCAACGGATAAAAGGGAGGGAACATCCCATTTTCCAGCTCATAAAGGCCAACTGATGATGGCTTCAGGTTGTAGAGAGCGTCCTTCCTCTTGATTGTAGTTCAGCCACTAGTGGAGTGAAAGCATCGCCATCAGAGTATGGTGGTCGATCCGTGTGGGCTGGCACTGGTTGGCGTGCCACTGATGGCGTTGAAGATGCCCACGGAGTCGGACAGAGCGTTCCTCGTGCCGTCATCTACTGGGTTTATCTAGTAAAAAAAAATTATCAATGGGGAAAATGAGGAAAGGAATTGATGTAATCTTGTTAAAAACTGAAACACACACATGCACGTTCGTTGGAAGTTTAGGTACTTTAGGAAAATTATTTTAGGGGCGGGGCTATGTTTTATTATTATTTTTTATACAGGTTAGTGTAAATATTTCAGACAGACGTGTTCCTCATTGCAGATGTATAATTTATATTATTCTTGAATATTTAGAAAAAAATCAAAGTTACATAAAAAAGATTATTTTGCAGAGGAAGTCCACCTCTCCGTAAAAGTATGTTTTACGCGGCCTTTATTCTTCCACTAACAGTAATGTTTGTGTATTATTGTCTTCATTCAAATGGACTATTTGCTATTATGAGTCCTTGGTTTATTATTAAGTAAAGTCTTACAGACATTTGATCTTATACATATTGTTGTATCCAGGAAAAGTACATTTAATCAGGTTTGTCGCGTGTCTATGTGGTCTCGTGTTTTCCTGCTTTATTTGTGGAGCACAAAAACAACACAAGCAGCATTACCATCCGATCTGCTCGGGCCAGCACAAAGACAGAAGGAGATGAGTTAGTAGAATACAGTGAGGAATATGCAGCTCTAGAACATGTCATGTTGTGGACTTCTTAACCCCAAGCAGTGGGCGCACATATTTCAATTAGTGTAAAAACATTCAACGTGATTATTTCTTCATGTTAACATTCATTGCTCATAAAAAAAAATTCTGCTCCATTGTTTAAATCAACCTCTTAACTTCAAAAGACCTTATGCCACATAAGATCATACACGACCATAAAATAAATGTGTCAGAAACCGGGAAACTGTAGCTTACACTTTGCAGCCCAGAAAGGAAAGTCATAGCATTAATAGACTAATCGCAGTGACCGATGCTGGTCTCACCGATGCTACCTGTTCATGCATGATGTGCGACAGCTCCCTGGCCAAGTCCCTGTAGTTGGCCTTCATCTCGTCATGATACTCCTGCTGGTCCTCTTTGATCAGTCGCTCGTTCACTGCCAGCGCCTGACCGCAGGCGTCCACAAACTGCCTGAGGAGGGAGGGAGAAAAAATCTCACGAGAAGCAACAAGCGCAGAACAGAAAGTGAACCGGAGGCCACAGATGGTGGCGGATGAGGAGGCTGGAACTGGCCTTTAAATGACTTGATACAACTAAGAGAAAGGTTTACATTATTTCCTCTTCTGCAAAGGTTTAATGGCCTCCAACGGGTTCATTGGGGTCACCAGTTATATAATATTCATATAACAGCGGTGGATGGAAAGTGATAATTGCGGATTTTTGGGATATTCTGAGAAAATAGATGAAAACTTGCCAAACAGCTGGTAGTGTAATGGAGCTCATACTTTGCAAATCCTGTATGGTTTGTTTCTAATGCCATTTTATATCTATTCCGGTTGAATTGAATCAAGTGTGAGTTCCAGCTGCACTTGAACGTGGCCGGGCTCCTTTAGAATCAAAGTTCCTGTCATCAGTAAGTACCTGAACACCTCTTTGAGCTGCTTGACCTTGTTGTCCGGATATTTCTTGGCACTACTGTCGTCGAGGAAGGCTCTGGCGTAAGCAAGTGGACCGGCGTTGACCTGGAAACCCCGCCCCCCCAAAAAACAACGCAGGTCAAAGATCCCCAAATGACAATGAGATAAGAACTGATTCGCTGCAGGAGCTCTTGTCGCCTCGTACCTGAACACTGATGCTGCCCTGCAGTTTGAGCTGCAGGCGGATCATGTCCACCTCGGAGGCGGAGCACAGCAGACGCAGCTCGCCCACCTTGGCGCTCATCTCGTCGATGGCCACCTCGATGGGGCTCAGGTCGGTCTGGTGTTGGTACATGACCGCTATGCGCTTCTTCACGTAAGGGAAGCAGTGGGTGGCTGGATGGGAAATTGGGCAGAGGGTGGAGTGGGGGCACATATTAGGCTTTCAAAAGTCAGCAAGACAAAAAATTGAATTGAATCCACGTTTTTGGACCTACTGGTGAGGACGGTCCGCCGCTTGCACTGCTCCTCCACGCCTCCCTGCTTCTTGCCCGACACGGTGAACGGCGTCTCGAACACGAAGCGCCGGATGTTGTGACTCTTCTCGAAGTCCGTCTTCCTGTCGTCCAGCTCCTTGTCGTCCAGGTGGGGCGTGACGTGGGTCACCTGGATGTAGGCGTACTTGGAGTCCAGGTCCTTCGGGTTCACCTGGGGGTTCGCAAAGGGTTTGCTTGCACTCAAAATGGAGATGGACGTAAAATACCAACGCCAATGGTTTTTGATAAGAGGTAAGATTTTGTGCTGGGGCGTATTATCAAGCTTTGGACCAGAGGCTGTACATCCTCTTCCAGTCATTGTGCTATGCTAAGCTAACAACTCCTCCAACCAGCTCAGCGAAATTTCTCACATTGTATTTATAGCCATTTTGACAACAACTAGAAATAGAACTGATAATAAATGGAAATCAAAAGGTGAAGCTAATGAGTCGTGTTGTCGGGTAGGATTCGGCTAATGGTCTTCCCACGTCTCACATGCAGCAAAGCTCGGAACGGGAGCCCACCTTGCTGGAGTCCTGGATGATCTTGACGTTCTCCTGACCAAACTTGTCGGAGTAGAGCTTCAGCAGCCTCTGGGAAATCTCGGACAGCGGCGTGAACTTCGGCTCCTTGTAGATGTATTCCTTTCCATCTTCGTCCTCAAAGAAGCCCTGCGGAGGAGGAGGAGGAGGAGGAGAAGAAGGTCACGTGCTGGCTCAGCGATTTGAGGTCACCTGTAGTTTGGATAAGTCAAACTAGAAAAATATCTAGTGATTTATTTTCTAAATATGATGTTGATTTTTCAAACTGCTCATTGGTTGGCAGATGGACTCCAAATGGGACTAAAGCATCTTTATTTTGTTTTGTTTTAATTTACACATCTCTGTGACACACAATATATGTACCAAGTCATTAAAGTACATGGAGAATAACAAGAAAAATCAACAACAATTACTATTAACCCTGTTAATTAGCTACGCAAACAGAGACAAGAGACAAAAAGACAATATTGAGCAGCCTTTGAAAATAAACCACGACAATTCTGTAAAACACATCCAATAAAACACTTTTTTTTTAAAATTCAGCACCACATGCCAATTTAAAAAGAGGAGGAGGAAAACAACAGACATGCAAACTTCTCCTCCTGGCTCAGTCGTCACTGAATAAATGGCTGTGAATGGTGTATAAAATACAGTCCATTTACCAATTACCATTTCGCTCAATCGTGTATCCATGGAAAAGCACACAGATGTGTGTGGGTGGAGCAGGCCGGGATAATCACACAAGGGATGGTGGTGCAATCTTTACCCCCCCCCCCCCCCCCGCCTCCCCCGCTTATACAAAAACTTACATACAGAATACAGTCGGCTGTATCTTTCAAATAATTTCATTCACGAAACATCAGCTCTCAAACAATAGAAGGATGCAAAACGGGATGGAGGAGACACACAGCTGAACCTTTTACACACTTACCGCAGCCTTGGAGGGGGAAGGAGAGAAGAAGAGACATCTATTAAAAGGATAACAGTCAGAGGTGTGTGTGTGTGTGTGTGTGTGGAGGGGAGAGTCCTCACACTGAATCTGCGTACATTCATGCCAGCCATCACTAGTATATCGGGTTCTTTTGGAAACTCCGCCCCTTACCTGTCCAAAGAAGGCCACTCTGAAGTATGTGCCCAGCAGCCTTTTGCCGCTGTGCATCACCTCCATCACCTTCGTGTAGGCCCGGTGGAGGGTGTCGTACAGGTGAGTCAGTTTCTGTAACAGTTCATATCATAATGAAGAATATGGTTGGCTCATCACGTTGTGTGGTTCTTCTTTTACGATTTACATCTACGTCAAAATATGACCAAGTTAAACAGATTTATTTGTTCTTAAAGCACTGAAAACATGATAAAGGGTTATTGTAATCTTTTTTATTACCTCAAAGTCCCGGCGCTGCTCGTAGATGGGGATGATGAGCCTGTAGACGTCAGCGATGAGCTCATACCGCTCCGCCTTCCAGAGGCCGTCCGCGCACTCCTCCAACAGCTCCATCAGCACCTCCTAAACACAGATAAACACACGTAAACTTCATTCAACTTCCTGCAGCCTCGGCTTATTTCATTTCTCCAGGGATATTTTGGCGAGTTAATGTTTATCCGGACGTCTCCAAGCTGAACATAGTGTTCCAATAAAGGCCGGCAGGATCCCTCATCTCCTTCCTTTTTATTGGGGGAGGAGTCCATCTCGTAAAAAATAAAAAGGATTTCAGCAGATGGAGAGCAAAACGTGTGTGCGTTGACCGACTTTTAAAAGCTCACACATTCTCCAGCCAACGCTTTCAATTCCGCCAAGCTTATTTGCTTCTCGGGGGGCCACCCTGTCAGCAGGCCGCCGCCCTTTGCCCGATCACCTCTAGGAGCGCTGACCCTGAGTGACCCTGAGACCTTCCGGAGGATTTCCGTCTGCCAGCTCACTTGTTTTCCAAACGTGGTGAACAGCACATGTTCCACGCCCCGGCTTAAAGTCCACACCGCCGCTCAGCAGAGCAACAAAAACAATAAAAGCTCGGTTACGACACGCGGAAGACTTCCCGGTACCTCGTTGAAGTGGACATCCTGCATCCCGACGTCCTCCATCATGGCCGCCTCCTCGTCGATGTTGGGGGTGGTGACGCGGAACGACGAGCAGCCCTGCCTGAACATACCTGACGACAAGAGGCAGCGCTTTTTATTTTTGTAAGTCAACAAAGAAAACACAACAATAACTAACCGACAAATTAAATCAAAAATAATAATAACACCAATCAGAGTATCCATGCAGGTAAAAGGAGGGTTAAAAAACCAAACATGGTATTACGATTACTGTCACCTCTATTCAACTGACATTCTATATTGGTGTATATTTATGCACTTTATTTGCTACCTGGATAGATAATGTTCCAGCTCCTCTTATCTTATCTTCAAAGATTAAAGTAAGAACACATGATGTGTAGGCTTACTGTAGCTGGTGATATGTGTCAATAAATATTTTGTGTGATAAGCGGATAATGCGCGGAGCACGGCACTGAAACATGACAGTTTATGAGTACCATGAGCGTAAAGAATCAGCATATTTCAAAAGAACAACTCTGACGTACTATCAGACACGTTTTCAATTTCAACAGGACTGCAGGTAGTATCGATTCGTTAGCGTTATTACGTTTGAAATGTTTATGGCGGTGCACAATTTCACCCAATACACAAGAAGTGAATCTAATCGATTTGATTGAATTTGCTCAACATTTACTTTCCCTAATAATGCTCATTCTAGGGTGTTAACCTTCGGCATTGACTCAGCATGTGGCCTTTGTAAACTGGGAGTGCAGGAAGTGTGCAATGGTGTCACGGCGCTTCTAGACGCAGAAGCATAAACTAGGCTAACGCGCATCTTGGACTCACCTTTCCTCCACAGGTACTCGGCCACCAGGGCGGCGACGTGCACGTAGCACATGGCTGCCTGCGGGGTGGAGTGCACAAACAGAGTAGCGGCTTAGCACAAAACTGCCCAGTCGCATCCTGCAGTGGTCTGAGTGGTAGAAGAAGAAGCTACCTCTGAGAGGTCTCCGTTCTTGTTGTGGATGCGGGCCATGCTGTCCAGCCAGGTCTTGCGGAGCTCGGGCGTGCTCGTGTACGACTTGGCCAAACTGTACTGGAGGTCCACCAGCATCTCCGGGTCGTTCTCGTGCTCCTTCATCTGCTCCGTGGCCATCAGCACCGTCCTGATGCGCTTCGTCAGGTCCTTCACGTCTGACGGGAAAGCCGTGTGCTGCAATCATAACGTTAGAATAATAGTAACATTAGTTCTTGCTGAGAATTTGGCTAAAGTAGCAACCCTTGTTTTTCCCTTTTCTACCCAATTTTTATTTTTATTTCTGCATTTTGGTGTACGGATAAATAAATCTGAATAATTCTGAATAAATAATTCTCCATCCATCCATCCATTGTCAAACCGCTTATCCTGCACACAGGGTCGCGGGGGGGCTGGAGTCCATCCCAGCCAACTTCGGGCGATAGACAGGGTACACCCTGGATTGGTCGCCAGCCAATCGCAGGGCTACACAGAGACACACAACCATTCACACTCACATTCACACATCTACGGGCAATTTAAAGTCCCCAATCAACCTGCTCCCCAGAGCATGTCTTTGGACTGTGGGAGGAAGCCGGAGAACCCGGAGAGAACCCACGCAGACACGGGGAGAACATGCAGACTCCACACAGAAAGGCCACTGGGCGGAATCGAACCCAGGACCTTCTTGCTGTGAGGCAACAGTGCTAACCACCACGCCACCGTGCCGCCCGAATAAATAATTCTGCCGGATTAATTTAATCTTAAATTAGGAAACAGATGGGGAAAAATAAATTCTGTCAGAGAGTTACATTTCTTTTCATTTGTAAAAACAGATTTTGGCATTTGTTGTTGTTGTTGTTGTTACAAGTTACATACTTTTAGCAGGTTACTTACACCTACATGAAGACTTGTTTCCTGATAAATAAATGCATTTGCTTGTCTATTTATTTATTTTTACCTGTTCTCAAGTCATAAACATAGAAAAACAATTTAGATCACACGTTGTGGATCCCAATCCAACTCACCTTGATGCTCTTGTCGCTGTTCGCACAGTTGTTAATGATGGAGAGCGACTGCTGGAAACGGGTCCCGCCGATGCCGATGACATCGGCGATCAGCTGACTGACAGCGATGACCACCTGGGCGGAATCAAATCCAAAAGTCAGACTGACGCGCGACCCGCCTGGCCGCTCTTCGCACCCACGCGCCCGCCCCCCCCCCCCCGTACCTGCAGGTGTGTCCGGACAAAGGACTTGCGCCCGGTGTAGTCAAAGTTGCTTTTCATGAGGAAGTAGAGGAGATGGGCGGCGTCGCTGCGGATGGAGCTCAGCTTGGAGTTGCAGCACTTGAGGATCTCGTAGCACAGGGAGGCGCACATGTCGGCCCGGCCATCGAAGAAGGTGCAGGGGAACTGGAGGACAGGAAGTAAAGCAGGTTTTAGGGAAGAGGTTATTCATGACACGGTGTTCTCCTTTCCTGAGCCTTGCCAGGAACGACCATCACCTCAGTAAGGCCGAGATCCTCCTTGTGGCAGTGGCAAGTGGGTGGCATCAAACTTGAGAGCCCCACCCCCTACACGGAACCCGCCGGTCCAAACCTAAAATTAGCCTCTGTAATAAGAAGACGGGGGCTCACGTGTCTCAAATAAAATGAAATAAAATTAAATTAAATTAAATATTTACAGCAGCTGACCTGTCGTACAAATAACAGTTGTTTCTGGGAAAAATTGGCTCCTCCCACCCAGGGTGCCGTCGTGACGCCGACTGATTTACTGGCGATTGCCGCTGCCTGTCACAAAGTTGCCACCCACTTGCCACTGCCACAAAGAGGATCTCGCTGTCACTCCATCACCTTGTAGATGAAGGTCCTGAGCGAGGTGAAGACCTGCTTGAGGGCGGCCTCGGACTGAGGGATCTGCAGGAAGCACAGGTGCACCTGGAACACCTTCTTCATCAGGGGGTTGTGGCCGAGATCCGAGTTCAGCTGCGTCTGGAGACACAGCGGAGTGTGAGGACCCAACCAAAACCGGAAGGTCCCGCGTTCGGTGGCGGGAAACCGGTTACGCACCTTGAATCCCATGATGAAGATGCTGAGCGTGTCCAGCACGGTCAGGCAGACCTCCGTGGACACGTTGGCCTCCAGCAGACACTGGCTGCTCACGTCTGCCTCCGTGTGGGAGTACACTGCGGGGGGGAAACAGTCACCGTTAAGGGGTGCGGCTTTGTTACAGCGAGAAATGCCCGGCGCCCCATCCGCTCTATTGGGTTCGCTAATCAGCACCAAGGACGGAATAAATAGTTGCCATGCCTTTTTCCCCCCAAGTGAAATTGCAAAAAATTATTAAAAATGTAATAATAATATAATTTCAGCTACGTTTGTTTGACAAACGCCTTTTTCTTTTGGCAGGTCAACATTTTGTTGTTCTTGTCTACAGGATCGATTTCCGTCACTACCACGATAGTGCGTCTGTCTGATCGATCGATCGTTTTGATTTACTTACACAAGAAATTCAAACTTATTTATAATGTTGGCTGCACTGCAGTGTTTTGGTTACAACAACTGAATAGTTGTCAGCTGTTCTCACAATATAAAAAAATTAGGGAAGCTGTCAAAACAAAAACACTTATTCCATTTTTTTTTTTACCTCAATTTATAAATGAACAATGTTAATCAAAAAGCAAAAATGGGGTTTCCTCATACTTTTATGTTAAATTTAGCTGCTCACAAAATATAAAAATAACATCATATTTGTGGATTTAAAGGCAACTTAAATTTAAAGTTTAAGTTTTAAACTGAAAAAAGCGGTGTGACGGCAAATGAGAATGATCAGAAACATTGGACGGGATTCTCAAACATTGGGGAGTATAAAAGTCAGAGAGCTGGTGTACATAATGGGAGGAGATCCCAATTAAAATAGTTAGTAGTTAGTAAAGGGACAATAGATGTGATACCAATTCAATAAAATGCAAACATACATATATATTAAAAGACAAAATGAATCAAAAATTAAAATATGTTATAAAGCTTGCCTATTTTCCATTACTTCTAAAAAGGTATCCAGACATCTGGGAAAGGTCTGTATTTGAAGGCTTACTGTTGTTGAAGGTGTGCGCGTTCTCCAGAGTGCCCAGCTGCGGGAGGCGGGCGTCCAAGATGCCCGTCCTGTTCCGAGACACGGGCAGAGTCAGGGACTTCCTGTCCGGGGTTACGGCCCCCGCCCCCTCCTGGTTCCTGTTGGGGGGGGGGGGGGGGGGGCAGAAATGCCAGTTAGGGACACGACACAGCAGAGGTGCCACGTGGGTTGAAGAGGCACGAGGGGATGAACGCAGACGAGGGGTCATCTCAGCATTAGATGGCACAGCCGATAGATGAGCGTCATGCATTTAAATTAGTGAGACAAAAAGGAAGCAGAGTCTTACCCATGCAGGAGGGGCCCGGGGCCGCGACATTAACCACAAAACAACTTCGCCAGCAGTGTAACAGAAGAGGGGTCGAATCAAAGATCAAAAAGGGGTTAAAAGGTCCGATTGTAAGTACGTGTATGAGCGCGAGTCGTATCATTGCATAGACAGTGAACACAAGTAGCAGAAGGTCAGTAAATTCATAAAGTCAGGTTAAAACGAGACCCGGGACGTCCTCTGTGTTCGTGAACACTTTACCTGACGATGAATCTCTTCCCCATGTATCTGAACTGGTGAAGGCAGACTCTGCGGGACAGAGCGGAGAAAGTAGAGTTAAAGAAAAAGCGTCCAGTCAAAAAGGGGGAAGCACTGCAGAGAGAGACGCTCACTCTATCAGCGTGAAGAAGTCCATCAGTTCCAAGGGAGCTGCTTTGTTCCAGTACGCAAAGAGGGCCTCTGAGGAGAGAAAAAGGCCGACGGTCAGAACTTGCGCTGGCGAGGACTTAATGGAGTACAGTGACCCGTGGGTGGGTGGGGGGGATGCGGCCTACCCTCCGACATGCTTTTGAGGACGTGCAGAAGGCACATCAGCATGTTTTTGACCTCGTCCCGGTCCAGTTTGTCGCAGCGCAACCCGGCGCTGCCCAGAGCCGACGCACCCTGGTGCTGAAGCCGCGGGAGAAAAGAAAAGTTTCAGTGATTGGGAAATAATTAAAAAACTCCAAAAGAGATAAAGAACATCACTCAAGCAACCCACACTTCAGAGAGGAGCAACGTTAAGTGTTCTCCGCCCCGGAGGGGGGGGGGGGGCTACATGAGAGGGAACAGAAGAAGAGAGCACATTCTTCTTCTTCTTCTGCAGCAGCTCTGGGCTTTGATGATAACGACGTCGAAGGAAGTTTTAAAGTGGAACAAACTTACAGCTAAATCACAGCATCCGAGGAAATAGTTTTAAAAAGAGTCCGCGGTGGAAAAGCACGCTTCACTCCCCGACGTGGGACACCCAGAGGAGAAGGATTTGGTGACACATTGTACAAATATCAGTTTTCCCACCCAAAAGTATCACAGAAACCTGTACAATTGTAACCAAACTTCCCCAGCAGGACAGGGCGGGGGGGCGGGAGGGGTCACAGAAGGTCAAACGGAATACTTGGATAGGTGTGTTTTCCTCGTGACCGTCCGCGGTCGGGCCGGCCGAGGCCACGGAGAAGATGAAGAAGTTCACTATAGCACTCCATTGACCATCTAGTACAGCGTCTGACCTCGCCTCCCGGGTCCAGACGGGAGGGGCAGTTAGTTTCACGATCACCCTCCTGAAGATCCTCTCTCGGCGGGTGCGGTTAGGGAGGTAGAGAGCAAAGGGAAGGGGTGTGGGAGCTCTGGGGTGGGGTGGAGGGGGGTAGGGAAGAAGGGCGTGGTTGTCCGAGAGGGGGGGGGGTGATCAAAATAACAGGAGGGCTTTGCAAACCTCGTGTCTCGCTCGCTTCACGCTTTCGCCACAGAGGGAATGTGTCGCACACGGGGCGGCCCACCAGCCCCACTCGGGCACCAACCTTCTCCAGTGAGTTGGTCTTGTCACTGCTCTTGTCCTGCAGGCTGCTTCCGGAGTCGGTGGAGATCAGGGAGCCTCTGGAGTCGGCGTGCTGCACCGAGCCGGCGTTGGGGGTGGAGCTGTGAGGGGAGGCTGCAGGGACAGGGTACAGATACGCAGGAGGCGCGTCAGAAGATGGGATGAAATCCGCCGTGTACGAGTCGGCACGCAGAGCAGCGCATACATTCGCTGCCATTTTAAAGAATATGTATATTCTTTAAAATGTCATTTTACTTCCCTTTCCGATGGTATTGCAAAGTTAGAATATTTGCTCATTATGGAGACTTAAAAAAAAAAAAAGAATTGCACGGCATTAGCTCTGGCTTAACAGTGGAGCGAGCATTTACCTGTTCCAGAGATGACTCCAAACACGTCTTTGTGGAGAGCATTTTCTACGCAACTCCCAGGTTTCTGAGGGGTCACCATGGAGTCCTCCCTGGCATTCTGGATCCAGATAGTGACAAAATGAGCAAATGGAATCACGGTAAAAGCGTGATTTCGGCTGAACCGCCACTAGGTGTCAGGCTTACGTTGTGGTTGCCGAGGGGGGCGGACTCCTTCACGTCCAGCCTGTAAACGTTCTCCTGGAGCAGACCGAACAGTGGGAGGTAGAGCGTGGCCAGTCTGGCCTGCTGGCTCTGCAACGACACAGTAGGTGCTCATGAGTCACATGGTCAGCAGTGTGTAAGAGAACCTCCGGGTGCTCGGCCTGCAGCCAAAAGGTGGCCAAGAGCTGTGGAACTCACTTTGGCGGCGTAGCGGTCGTCCAATGTGTGTTTGATCATCAGCCCCTTGAGCACCTGAATGGCGATTTGACGGATCTCTCGGAACTCCTGCAGGGCGCCGCCCACCTCCCTCAGCAGCAGCCCCACCAGGAAGTGGTTTTGACAGAAGTCGTCGGTCAGAGAATAGTCCAGCTGGAGGTCTGAGGCGGGCATCAGTCGGCACAAATGCATGAAACAATTTTAAAAAAAAAGGTGCAGAGAGGAAAGGATGCAGAGAAACAACTCCAGCAACTCCACTTTAATAACAGCAGGGGGCGTTTACCTTGGAACCTTTGGATTCGACCTTTTCCAAAGGGCATGGGCAGATTGAGGGGGACGTAGTGCTCGTGGTTGCAAACAACCCGCAGGAACTCAAACTTAAATTCATACAAAGTCTGGAAGTGAGGCGAGAGAAACGCGTTAGCGGGAAGCTTGTATGGCATGAAGTTAACTTTTAATTTCATGCTTCGTGACTGGAATAAGAACACTATGGATGACGGTAGACGGTTGATTTTAACCTTGGGGTCTCCGGGCATGAAGCAGTTCATGTAGTTATTGATCTGCTTCAACACGAAGCCTCTGTCCATGAAGGTGAAGCAGCGCTGAGTACGAAAGGTTTGAAAAATAACGTTAACCGGAAATTTTGTAACAATCCACAAATCAAAAAAGCAACACGAGACCGCAGGCAAAGTGAAATACCTTGATGAAAACTGCCAGGCTGTGATTGGCATTACGAGCCGCGTCCAGGTTGTCCTTGTATTTCTGGGTGATGTGCGGCACGAGCATATTCACCAGTGTCTCCGCTGCATGGTAGAAGGATGCCGAGAAACGCTGGTTCCTGGAGAGCTGGACGGGGGAAGCGTTAAAAGAAAAGGGGGGGGTTGAGAATCGGAAAGGAACGAAAGAAGTAAAATGATGGGAAGACAATAAAAAGAAAAGACCCACCTTGACCTTCCCGCTCTCCATGAGGTAGTGAGCCATCGATTTCACCAGCGCTTCAAAGAAGTACCACGAGTGCTGCAACTCAAAACAAGGAGAGACCTTAGAGCGGTGAAATCTGTCACGTTTTCAGCGGGTTTAGAGGCCGTCATCGGCGGGAGGTGCAGAGTTCCCGGGGCCCTGCTACACCTACCTGTCGTCTGAGTAATTATGAATGGAGCCCGAGGAGGGATGTTTCAATTAGCAGCAAATAGCTCCGTTTTTAAAACGGCGATGGTTTCGCTGTGATGACATTGCAGGTCCGGGACGTTCGCCCCGTCGTAGTAATTATGAAGAGAGCAAAAGGGGATTTTTATTTTGTTTAATTGTGATGGTTTCACTTGTTCCCAACATGAGAGATGAGACAGACGCACTATCGTGGTAGTGACGGATAATGTCCGTCTACGGGGCTGATAACATTCTGAACTCAATTTCAAAGGAGGTGATGCATTTTTCACTATGTAACATAAAATAAAGATGCAATTATGTAATTCATTCATTTAAACCAGAGGTATGTATAAATAAAAATAATAAAAAACAGGATGCATAATTTAAAGTAACCTAAACCAAGTCAGAATCAGTTAACCAGACAGCTTAAGCCAGAATGCTAAATTAGCAACTGGTGAAGAAAGCTGCTCAGCTTACTGTGTCAAATGAATGTCACCTTTCAATGTTCACAGCAATGGATGTTCATCCACCCCCTGCAGATTATGGCCTACTGATGTTATTCTCCTCGGAAAAGCCACACTTTTAAATTGGCAGACTTAAACAAAAGATTTAAAGCTTCCATCTCCCTTTGTTTGACTGCAGTTTGAACTGCGAATGGCTCTTACAAGTTTTACATCAAGAGCATCGGATCTTTGGGCAGCCTGAACAGACTTGACTATGCAACGGAACTAAAAAGAATAATCAGTCTGAAAAAGGAACACGCTGCAAACAAGAGGCATTTCAACTGTTAGTTATTACCTTCAGCAGCTTGTTGCTGGTGAGAAAGTCTGTAGACGGCTTGAGAATAGCGGTCATGGCTTTAGCCAGCTCCTCGTGGACCGTTTTCACATCGGTGGAGGAATACGGCTCCGGCTTAAACACAAACTGCAGGGAATAAGGAATCATTGATTGATTTCATCAGTTGCCTTGCTACAGGAGCACGCGAAAAAAACACACGTGTCTATGTATAGTTAGTATAGTAAAGTCAGAGATGCAGTGAGTAAAATTCTGCACCTTGATGTAAGATCTCAAGTAATGTTCAAGCCCCTCTTCGTGGCACTGCGCCACTACATGAACCATCACCCTGAAGAGAAAAAGACAACGATAAAGAAAACATACAGGAATACGCAGGAAGAAGTGAGGTTTGCTGGAAGGAAGGAGCCAAATGTTGGGATTACATTTCCTCATATACAGCGTCTACGAGCTTCAAAGACTACAGTCAGAGGACACACGCACGGGGTGTGCATGCGGTACGTGAGCGTCTAATGAGACAAAGGACTACGGCTATTACAGAGAAGCAGGGGAAGGCTCTTTGGAAAGATGAGAGGGCTGCTATTATTTCACAAAGTTTGTGAAAAGTAGATATTTCTGCTGCCGGAAACCTGCATTTCACATGCGTGTGTGTGTGTGTGTAGTAGTGTCACCTGGTCACATTGACAGCCACGTCCTCGTGGGTGGCTCTAGTCAGGACGCAGAACAGCTGGTTAAGGACGGTGGGAAGGAAGTTGACCATCACGTGACCCTCCATCGCATGGAGACTCTGAGAGGATTAACAAAATGAAATATAAGTATATTTATTCATTTAATGGCTCGTCATATTCCTTTAATACTAGATTAGAAATACCTTCAGGTATTTGATCAGCTCCCCCTCTGAAGCTTGTCCTGACGTCTCCATGATTTGACAGTGGTGGAAGAAGTTGTGCAAGTGCTGATCCTAAAGAAAACACGTGTCGCAGATATTGTATTTGCACTTACAGCGAGCAGGTGAGAGTAACGGAGGTCAGGTACACACCTGAGTGTAAACCGTGGAGACGAGATGGGTGGAGACTTTGAACAGGGGCTTTCCTCCGTCCACCCATTTGATCTCGGGGCCAGAGTGCTGCGATGACACGCGGGGAAAAGTGACTGCTCTGTGTGCTGCACTTTGACCACTTATGCTCAAGCACAGACAAAATAACAAAGCTGACTTTTTTTTTCTTCTTTTTATAAGATAAGACAAGCTGGTTCTCCATGAGGCTGCAGCGTTCTATGAGATACACAGAAAATGGCTTTTATCGAACAAAGAACCTTGAGTTTTGGTGTGTGTTTTGAACAGGTGTTCTACCGAAGTGCCGAGTTTATGAGCTCAATGGCCTCAAAGCTCTTTTTGAGGAAAGTGCTTCTTTCAAAGGCCGTTGCAATTCAAAATCAGTACAAAGCATTATGCACAATAAGCAGCTTTTGCCGACATATTAATTAAATTTGGACTAATCCCATTAGCTATGAATGTTGGAAATGATTAAGGAGGCCACATTGATTGTTAGTTTTAATGCTGATTAGATTTCATGTGCAAGCCTGTTGGACCCCCTGCAAGGTCCCAATCCAATCACAGCTAATAAGATCTTTTTCTGATAACCAGCCGCATCAGATCCTGGATGGAAATGTGAGAAATCTCATCATTAAAGCCAAGTTATTGTGACCTTAAGCGCATTACAATTCCACAAATGACTCTATGATACATAATCGTAGGTAGGTAACGCACCTTGTTGATGGCGTCCTGGGAGCCGAGGTACCCGGCAGGCAGATTGGCGGCCACCGGCAGCAGCTGCTCATTCATGGTGACCCTGCCGTCCCTCAGCAGAGGCAGCCATGCCGAACCCACTGTATGTATGTAAAGCAGGTACAGCCACATGTTTTCTTTCACTGGGGCGGCTGAAGCGTGACAGTCCCAATTTGAAATACCTCAACTCTACCGGGGAGACTCGTAGAAATTACCATCACAATTGGCAAAGTATGCCAGTATGAACAGGCTTTTGTGAGTGAAAGCTGCAGCCTACCCGCAGACTCCACCAGGTCTTTCTTCTTGCTGTTGCTGTCACAGCTCACATGATAGAAGGTGAAGAGAAGGTGGTGCTTCTCGTGCAGCTGAGTAGGCAGCTCTATCTTTATCTGCAGGTGAGAAAAAAACACAGATTCCCGGGGGTTGATTCCCTGTTACAAACGGAGCTTTGTTCGCGAGGACGTCTGCAGAGCATTGAGGTACGTCAATGTCAAGTGGAAACGTGCTCTAACAATGAGAGAGGAGGTGAGAAGTAACTCATAAAACATTTGGAGCATTCGCCATAAAGCCTGTTTGAGTTTCATGCATGGTTGTAATCACTAATGGGCATATTACAGATTACATTACTCAAACTAATTATGAGTAATGGAAGCAGAGACCTACCTCATCATAGAACTCAGGGTTCTGCTGGTGGTGCAGGACGGTTGCATATGCCTGCTTAGTGAATAGAGGAGCTCCTGGACGGCCGTAGATGCACTGCAGGGTACATTCAAAAAGTCAGAGATAATCAAACATGACTGAAAGATAGTCAAGTCCAAAATCAAGACTTAGTTAGTCCAACGTCTAAACAAGTGCCAGGCCAAGTCAGGACTAACGAGCCTTAAGTCAAGAAAAACGCCCAGACCAGCAAGTCCAACCTCTATTGCCTAAACCGAGAGTCCAACGTTGAGTCTGTTGCAAATCTTCTTTGTAAAGACAAAAGACATTTGACTGATGTTTGACTTGAGTCCATGTCGCATGATTCGTAAAGAGCTGATTCAGCATTTCCTGGTATGCAAACGCACCTTCATCGGCTGGGCCTCATCCTCATCAGAGTCCTTGAATTCAATGCAAACTGCAATATTCCTTGCCTAGAGAGGGGGAGACAAAGCAAAGGCATGCTGTGAAAGCAGGGACCAGTTCCCTGACATCCCTCCGACACTTTCTCCACTGAGTCCATTTCAGACGACCATTAGTGTCTATAAAGAGAGGGGAAGTATTTCGGGCCAAGTATTGCCAGCAGTCGTTTCAAATAAAAGAGGGCAGAGAGACAGACGGGGGGGGGTTGGAGAAGGAGGCAGGTTGGTTTTCCTACCGTGAAAATACTAAGCCTGCATTAATGTATTAATCAGAAGCTGCTGCCCTGCGTAAAGGATAATTCCATCCAGCTCTGCTGCTCGGCTGGACGAGCCCCAGGAGGCGGTTGCCGGTTCCCTCGTGAGCTGAACGGGAACTCAATATGATGACGACGAGAGAATGCTGGCCGAGCAAGAGCATCTCTTGTCCCAACGGATCACTCAAATGCTTTGGATTGATTTGACATTACATGTAAAAGGGCTAAAACACCGATTGTGATCATGTAAAAATAGAAGTATCCTTTACTCCCTCTTGTCCACGGGTTTGTTAAATTAATACCGTGGCTGACTTACCTTCGCAAAGGATTTCTGCCCGTCGTATTTGAGGTGTTTAGGGTACACGTAGAGGTGGTTCTTATAGATGGTGAATGGCTGGGAGCACTTAGCGATGAAAGGCACAAACTCCTCCACCTCCAGGAGAGCGGGCCCGTGGCCTTCGAAGGCCCGGACGGGGATGTAGGAGGAAGTGACGCAGTCTGCGGGACAGGAAACGAGAGGAGTCATTGGGTTCCAGGGTCACGTCGGGGGGTTACAAAATACACAACGGAACGGGACTTTGGAAATATTTGGAGGGGGGGTTTACTGGTTACATCCGGTGCCACGCTGTCAATCGTCACATCCAAGTTCCCCAACAGCACGGGCAGTTTGGCCATTTTCTCCGGTCTGTGGGGGGGAAACGGCGGTGAAAAGAAGAATGTCTAGAAATAGCAATATCTTTAAGGGAGGGGGGGGGGGGCATACTTTCTGAAGTCAGTCAGCAGTTTGACATGTCCTCGTCGGACAGCCTGCTGCTGTCCTGTCTGTAGAGGGCTGAGAAGCGAAAGCTTTTGTCCAGAGTTCCCGACGCGTCTTTGAACACAGGCCTGCAGAGACAAAAAAAGAGTGCATTTCAGCTCTGCGCCAGCGGCTTGGAGACTTGCAACCCCCCCCTCCCTCCCGCCACCGCCCCCCAGCGGGTTGGCTTTCATTTTACAGCTTTCCATTTCGTGCGCATTACATCTGAATCAAACTACGAGGCACTACGGCACCGTCTTGATGTGAGGATTTTTTGGGTAGAACAGTCTCGAGAGGCAGCGCGTTGCTGGAGGGGGGCGGGGTTTCATACCGAGCGGCCCAGGCGAACGGCATCCTGTACTGCCCCAGTCTGCTGCACGCCGTCTTGGCATTCTTCAGCACCTTTTGAGCCATCTACAGGCCGGGCGAGAAAACAGCGTATTTACATATATATATATATACATATTTAAAGCCACGCCCTCGTCATTGTAACCTGCGTACCTTAGTGGAGTCCGAGCACTTCATGTAGGGCTCAGTGCAGTGGGTGATCCCCCCCTGCAGAACCTTCTCAACCCTGGCCACCAGAAAGATGTCCGGATGCGGGCACGTGACCGAGAACACCCCCTGCCTGGGGTACTCGAGGGCCCCCGACGGGAGCCCGCTGGCCTGCCTTCGGCCTGCCAAGGGATCGTCATCGCCGCCGTTGATGCGCACATCCGGCCTGCCGCCGGGGCCCGGGGTCATCTGGCGCACCAACGGGTGGTTGAGATCCACGTGGAAGTCGGCCGAGATCTTTCTGCTGTTCTGGACGTCGAAGAGGGAGAGCACCACGTAGAAAGGCTCCACCTGGGGTGAAAGGTATGAGAGGCAAAATGGTGTTTGTGTTGGAAGATGAGAGACAAACAGAGTGGAGGAAAGAACACTTTTCCTAATGCACTTCCCATTTTCCATCCATTCCAAATGGATCACTGATGTAATTCATCTGCTCCTTCGCTTTTTCCATTACACAGACCCATTTTGGCGTGCACGCGTTTGCTTGTGAGAGGAGGAGAGCTAATATATTAGTTATAGCTAATAGTTGTGTCTGAGAGTCGAGCGGCTCCTCCCTCTGCAGAGACAGGGACCTTTGGAGAGCGATGGCAGGAAACCAGCCTCAGACTGGTGCTAATGCGTGCTGGGTGGTCCAGGCCTGGTTGTCATGGCGGTGGGCCAACAGAACCACTTTTGACCATGGCGACATCTGAACTGTCTGTGATCTTCTTAACTGATTGAGAACTCTCCCTCGTTGGAGACAATGCGTCGTGCCGGAGGCGTGTTTTTGTATTTGCTAATACGGATCCTGTTACCTGTTTCACATTGTTTCAATGAGATTTAGCCAGTTTCTCATATCTTCCCTGTGGGAATACATTTCCTGATTTCCTGGTCTCAGCTTCAGTATTATGTGTTTGAAGCTATGTATCAAAAGCAATACTGTTCACATATCACAGATATTTGAATAGTTGGTAGTTATGATCAGGACGGAGGCTGGGGGGTTTGAATTGAAACATACATTTGTGGTCGGGCCCTCTTCGTTCTCTGCGACGCAGCCCTGCAGGTTGAAGGACAGGTCGTGACAGCTGACCAGGACTCTCTTCCCAAACTTCTCTTCAAACTGACGCACGTCTGGTTCAATGCCAGAGAAGTCCAGTTTCTGTGGCAACAGGAGAAGATCGGTTCAATTATTGTCCTGCCGCAGAGACATTTGGTCGGGAATTTGATCCATTGCAGGAGTCAAAACTGACTGTGGTGCTCGAGTATTTGCATGCAGTCGGGTGTTACCTGCGTGTCAGGGTCCAAAGTGAAGAGTTTCAGGCGAGCTTCACTTCTCGTTTTTGACTCAATGTCTCTGGCAGTCTGTTAAGCAAAGAAAAAAAAGAAACTCAACACCACCACAACAATGTACTCCATATATCCACAGACAGTTTATGTATTCAGTACGGCCTGTGCAATGTGAATTCACGTCCACATTTTTCTTCATCGTCTCTTATTTTTATCCCCTACATTTTCTCTTTTGTATGATTTTGTTTATTTTTATCTTGAGAACTAAAAGTCTAATTCACTATAAGATGTAGAAGATGAAAAATGAGAAGATATGGCAAGTCTCCATTAATACTCCATTAATATATGATTAACACAATAAACCTTTTGTGTTTCTGTAGGATAGTATTCTTACAAACATTTAGGCAAACTGTCAAACAAACAACAAACATTTACAGATATAGCAACCATATTAGCAATCAACAAGTCTAGAATTCATTGATATTATTTCAAAATTAAATTAAAATAAAATTATTTTTGAACTACTCCAAAAAAAAAAGCTGTCCCGTAAACATCCATGCCAAATAATTAGTCACGGTTACCAGATGAGCTAGCAATGCTAGGCTAGTGGCGTACATACAGTAGAACCAGAGCTTAAGAGCTGCTAGTTTGCCTCCTGGGAAATGCCAAAGTGCCCTTGAGCAAAGCACAGAACCCCAAAACTTGATTTCTCATTTTATAAATATTGACTAAAACTGCTTTAATTGTGCCGGCCTTTTGAAAGTTTGACTGCCATGTTCCACTCCAGTTTTGGCCTCATCTGGCCTCTGCATTTGGAGACAATACACTACAGCAGATGTTTGCTAGGTTAGCATCAACAGGAAACCTGCCTCCAGGAAATCCAGCTGTTTGGCAATTCCACCCCGAAACGCAGCAGTTACAACAGAATGCTTTCAGGTGAGGTCATGTGGCACCTTCGGAGTAATCTATACGGTGGTGCTCACTTATTAAGGTATGCGGTCAAACAGAGGTGTTTAGCATTGTTTTAGCAACACCACAGATGGGAAAAACAGGCTACCTGAAAGCTGTCTTGGAAACTTCCGGAGGTTAGATCCGTTTTTCCCTGCTCCTCGTCTGTTGGAGAGATCAACATATTAGCTAATGCAATTATACAGAACACAATGACGTGTTGGTCTCTGCCTGCCGACACAATAAATGCATGAGAAAAATTGTGAAGCTGCTAAAACGAGATGTCAAGGAAATGAATGAAAATGCACCAAAGCCCACCGTCGTGCAGTTCTACGTTCCTTTTCTCCTGCATGGCCTGTTCAAAGCTGCTGTGGAGGATCTTATTGAGGGTGCCGATCCACTCCTCCATCTCCGCTTCGCTGTCTGCAGCCAGCAGGAACGTGCTCTTGTCCTGCATCTTCAGCTCAAAGGCAAACCGCCGCACTTTGCTGTTCTGGAAGAACGATATCACACAGTCCATTTTAGTTCTTTGTATTAAATCCAGGCCATTTAGAGACCCATCGTACTGTGGGGCGTGGTTTTAAAAGCCTCGCCTGCATAAGATCCCGTACCTGAACGACCCCCATGCAGGAGTCCAGGAAGATGGTTCCTTTGGGTTCCTTGGTGGTGTTCTCGTCCTTGTAGAAGTTGAGGTTGTAGGATCCATCTCCCAGCTGGGCCAGATGGAAGTACCTCCTCTTAAAGGACTAGATGTGGAAAACAAATAAGGTTAGCATCCCAAAAGTTCTCTTTATCTCTAAAAATACCACAAGGGTGGAGATGGGGCGTGTGAAAGCTTAAGGGCAATATGACAAAGAACAAGGATTATCATATGTGCATTGAGTGATCGTCCAATCTTTGTATGACCTTTACATTGATATGATGTGATTTCATGAAATAATCTGTAATTATGACAGATAGGACACAAAATCTTTCCTTTTCAATAAAGATTGTATCCATGCCAACATGTTGTTTTCAAAAGGGAACAGGCAGTGATCGAGTGTGTGTGCTGTGTAAACCGTGGGGTCAAAGGTAAAGGAAACCTTTTAATAATAATGTCACATTGACGGTGAGGAGTTTCCCCAATTATTCACATTGACACACAAACATGAGATGAAAAGGGTCATGGTTGAATTAAACCCCCCCCCCCAAATTTTGGTTGACCGTACCCACCCGCATAGTAACGCTGATTGCACTGTTCATGTTTCCTTTGTACAGCCAGCCGTGTTTGGACACTCCTCCCTTCTGAGACCCGAGGGAAGCTGTGTCCTACGAGAGGAGGCGCAAAGATGAAAAAAACATTAATAAACGGGTTTTCGACCGTTTAATGACACACAGATGAGACTCATGCCTTTGGGTGCTTCTGCGTGTCCAGCAGAAGACATACACGTATGAATTAATTTACACACATTAAGCTTAAAATCCTGCTGACACCCACGAGTTTAGTCCTGAGAAGGATGGTCTTCATTTACAGCAACAGTGCACTTCTATAATCCCAGGGGGGTTTTAGACAAGAAGGTGTGTCCATCATGGGTCACTGGCCTCCCGTTAAATCAATGCCTGAGGCGAGGTACTTTGGACGAAGAAGAAGAAGCTCCTTAAAATGCTACAAATGCCTCGGAGATGTCAGCTATTCATAGGCGTGGGACTAGAACATTAAACAAAACATTCAACGGGTTGTCTTGCAGTAAAGAGTGGAACTGCAGAAACAATAAATTCGATATAATGTTTGGGCTCTGTTTTCTGTTTGAACACGGTTGGGTGCGGCCTAACGGAAGGTCGAACATTTGACCTCACAGGAAAACTATAGGAACGACGACGTTCCCTCGAATATGAAGAAAGAAAGGGTTTGGATGGACTCGCTCACCTCGCCTTTTTCCACATCTTCATCCACCTCGAACAGGTGAGCTGCCAGTTTCTCTGGTCTCAAAACCTTACTGAAAGCACAGGGAAAAGATCCCTCAGGTCAAGTCACCTGTACACACACACACACACACACACACACAGACTGGCAGAATCCAAAACATAAGTGCAAAGATGTGGAAAAAAAGCACCACGATTGAAGTACAATGGCAAATTATCAGGACAAGTGTGATTTATATACAGATAAAAACAGATATTTGCATATAAAGGCAGAGTCTGGTTGAGTCATGTGGAGAGGGAAAGAAGTGGACCGTGTTGGAAAATTGAAACTAGGACCCGCGGGCTACCGGGCTTTTTCATTCGCTCTTCACTCCTGTCTGTCAAGTCTTGTATCAGGCCGTTGAGACTGGACGAAACTGGGACACGGTCATCTCGGCCCGGATGTCCATTGGCTGCTACGGAACAACTAGAATAGTATTCATTGCCCTGAGGCTGAATCTGAGATTGATAAAGATCTTTTTGATCTGGTGAGTCTCCAGTAAATACCATTCTTATTTGGTATTCATGAAGGTAGGAGAGGATAACTACAAATTCCTGACTATTTCATTCTAAGACATATTCATGTATGTTTCAGAACACAAAAAGAAGCATGCTTCTCTAAGTGCACCCCGAACCCCAGACTGAGCGTTCTCCCTTTGAACCTTAGAGGACCTCAGGGTCCTCGGGGGCACGAGCAGCATAAACAGCGTGCAGGCCGAGGCCAAGGCCTGTCGGTTTTTACGCTACAATGCTTTAAACATGACACACAACATCTGCACGGCGCATTCCTGTGCTCAAAGAATGTGGCTCTAGCAAGGACACACAAGACATTGTGGGATTTTCCCTGGAGCTTCGATGCTTTCAATCAACAGCGGTCCCAGAATAGCTCTGCTTATCCTTGCTAGAGAAACATAGGAAGCCTTTTATTGTTGTTGCGGAGGAGCTTCCCGAGACACACATTTCCGTCTTTTCTAGAGTTCTGGCTGAAACACTCACGAGGGGCTGTAAACAAAAGGGCCGTGTCACTGAACAAAAGAAAGCTTTACAATGCAACCTCGGAGGGCTTCCACAGCATCGCGGGATGAACGGCGCATGCTTCTATGGGTAAAGAGCTATAGAGAAAACAGCTTTGTGGCTCTGCAAATCTAAAAAGAATCACTACCGTAATGCCCATCAGGCAAACGCTCTGCGCCTTTCACACTCACTTTGGGAGCTGACGGAAGTCTCCAGAATACTCCTCATACTTGTAGTTGACCACGTGCCAGTCGGACTTGTAGGTCTTGATGCACTGCGGAGACAGAGAGCGGGGAGAAGGGGGCGAGGGGTCATTTGAACAAAAGGCAAAATGAAGACGTGCGCTCGCACACGTGGTCCAGATGGGCTCAGGTAAAAAAAAAACACCCTCAATATATAGAAGTATATTTCGGTTGTATCCAGAGAACCTTCAGCCCTGAACAAAAAGCAGACATTAAGACTGCAAAGAGCCGCAGCGGAGGCATCCATGGAAAGAGCGCTCTATCGAAGTGGAGGTCGGTGTTAATAGGGGATGTAAATATCACTGAGGAATGGGGAGGATGAGGGGGGGGGGGGCACAGACATATTAGCTCCAGACTAGATTAAAACTGCAGACCACCAGCAGAGAAAATATCTAAATCACCCCTCCTCCCCTGGATAAGTCGGTCCCATCCGGGTGGGACTTTCCTGTACAGTGAGCAATGCGTTATCGTAACATCTATTATTCTTTAGGTCATCGTCTGTTCATGCTCACCATTGTTTTTGGGGGTTTTTTTATTTATGTTTTCATCAATTCCGCGAAATTCATTAAGTGGCTGAGGCAAGAGGTCACCAAAGAGTGGGGAAAACAACGGACAGCCCCATGTGGATCAGGCCTCCCAGCGACTCCAGATGTAGTTATGATGTAACTCCCAGCAGCTCTCCCTCTATCGGGCTCCATCGGGCCGCACCCCGGCCCGAGTCCCAGCTCCGTTTGAAACAACATGACGTGGACCACCGCTGAACCGCCGGCTCCATCTGCGGCCCGTCTTCCGAGAAAAAAGAACGCACGGGCCGAGAATGCGAGTGGAAGTTCACTGAACGTCTTACGGCAACACAATAAACTAAACGTTATGAGCTCCGGTATCTGGCATATGGGGCCTTCAGAGTGTCGGAGCCAATTGCATAATCCGGACGGAAGCGAAAGCACCTGTGTTTGGGTGAAAGGGGAGAAGAGCAGGCCGCGGATGGAGCAGGGATTCGCTGGGATATGGCGGGGGTTGAGGCTTTGGCCCGAGACGGAGGGATAAAGGAATGGACAAAGGCAGGCTTGCGTTCAGGTATGTGTTAGCTTTACCTCTTGGACGAACAGCGAGTGAGCTTCTTTCTCTGCGGTCTCTGGCACGGTGGAGAACAGAGTCCTGCCCTGGCGCCTCAGGGTGGAGATCTGAGGGGAGGGAGGGGAAAGCAGGCATGAAAAACAGACTGAGGGGAGAGACTTGCACAAAAGATCCACACTGCTGGGGTTTGTTAGACAAATTCACTAAACATTCCCACTTTGGATGTCGGTTTTGAATCTCCTTATGATGACGTGATATGACGTTGTGTTGGTCAATAAAGAGCAGATGCCTTTTACTGTGCAGAGAAAAAAAGATCATAGTAAGCCGCAGACCCGCCTCCTGCAGCTGACCCCCTGCAGCTGAACCCCTGCAGCTGACCTCCTGCACCCCGCTACGCTATGGAATGCCGTTTTAGTCCAAATTAAATAAATGAATAAATACATAAATACATGAAATATGCATTTGAAACACACCATGAAATAAATAAATGAGGCAATAAATACATAAATATTAAATACATTTAATTATTTCATGGTACTTTTATTTCATAATGCCACTTTTCATTTCCAGAGTCTTTTATTTCATAATGCCTTTTTTCATTTCCAGAGACTTTTATTTCATAATGCCTAAACTTACAGCTTAGCATGTAAGTTTGACTGATGCTACTCACTCAAAAATGGTACAAAGTGAGATTTCTTTGATTCTTTTGATTGAAAAAGCAGGTGCATGTGCTCTATTTGTTGAATAACTATATTATTGATCATCAACTATGAACTATTTTTTAAATTAAAAGTTAGAGAAGTATAGAGAGTCTTTTACAGAGAATGTTGTGCAGCCTGTATTGTTCCAGCCAGTATGCTGTATCTTTATTAGACATATACAGAGAGAGAGCGGAGAGCGACCATCCATGGCTGAGGAGCAAACGGAGCCTCGGGGCATCAAGACTTGATCCCACCGAGTGTTCTGCTTTTCAACCGAAGCCACAAAGCAGAGTGGGAAACAGTGGCACAATGACCTAGTTTTGTCATATATCCCTTATTTCTATACTGGCAAGCATACACAAGCATTCAGTCTCTGTCCTCATTGGTCCGGTGCACGCTGACAAAAGCAATCCAACGTCTACAGGGACGAAATCATTGGTCATACAGGCCTACATTGCGGTGGTATTTAAGAAAAAACATAAATAAAAATGAACTGAATTTTTATGCTTTAGTTGGAGTTGAATAAAAGCAAAAAAAGTATTCAAAAACATTTGTCGTTCTTATTGTAAAACAAGATAATAAAATCGATACGGCTGTCAAGTATGAAGCTCGAGCTAGCAGGCGGTTAGCTTAGCTTGGCGTGGAGTCTGGTAACAGGGGAACTCAGGTAGCTTGGCTCTGTTGTTTAATACATACAGAAGATCAAATGGAGGAACAGCACGGCTTATAGAAGAGACAACATGCTAATTTGTGACTTTCAGAGCTGCTGAGGCTCAGCTAGCTGTTTCCCCTCACCAAAGCTAGCACCAAAGCTAGCACGTCTGTTGGCCTGGCATCACATTTACACAATAGTAGCATCAATCATCTCATTAAACTGTTGGCACGATCAAGAATATTTTCCCAAAAAGTCGCTTATTATGCTTTTTAGGTCTTACTCAGTATGACACTTCATTCATACTCCAGTTGTACCCGTAGAAGCCTCGGAGCCCATTCCTCGGTCTGCACCGAAAACCAACTACTCAACGCACACACACACTTGTCAATCAACAGCATTCCTCACGCAGTCATTAAACCGGAGCTTTGATGGCGTCCACCGGGGCCAGAGGAGCGCGTTCCCTCGGGCAGCGGCACGGGCAGATGGGCTGATGCCAGGAAGAAATTGTAATGTTTGGCTATCTGGGCAAAGCGGTCAGCGTCCGGGGGGGAGAGGAGTCTTCTGAAGGAAGTCTTTCCACTTTGAAAGACGCAAGTGATTTTACCCGTACACATGAGCAGAATCACATATTTGAAGACTGTAAATATGAATAAGTGAAATGGAAACTTCAGTCTAATATCCTTCCCAGGGTCTCTCCTGTTCTACATACTGTATATGTCGGGGAAGTTAACCCATAACCCTCTGTTGCAGTTGCCGTGTGTGTTTCCATACGTGTCTGAGCAGCACGTGGAAATACTCGACTCGTATGCCTCCCCGCCCTCGTCTCTCTCCTCTCTCGGCCCGGTGATGTAAAACATATGGCAGGTTGGACCGACGGGCGGACGCACGCGCACATACAGGGCTAATGGCTGTGCTCTGCAGACGGCCTTGTAATGAAAACCACTCATCATGTACTGATTGTGAAACAGTCCAGTAGCAGACTGTACGTTGAGCATTTCCCGCTATACTCTAATGGAGCTCTACAGTACTTGTAGGTGCACTATTGCACTGAGCAGAAGAAGAAGAAATCTGAGCGCACTTATCCTTTACAGTGTGATTCCCTCATCTTTTTTTTTTCCAGGAGACTTGAGGAATGACAAAAATTTAAATCCTTGTTCTCTCTTTCTCTCTCAAACTGGGAGTGGACCGCGCTGAGATCCAACTCGGCCCTCCGGTGATGTAATGCTGACACGGTACTCAAGCTCTTTTGGACGCGAGCGGCAGATCCACATAGCGTGGAGATGTTTGTATAAGCGTGAGCCAGAGATTACACGCAATGAATTTATATAATTTAACATATGGGTGTTTGGGGCGGCACGGTGGTGTGGTGGTTATCACTGTCGCCTCACAGCAAGAAGGTCCTGGATCCAACTCCAGTGTCTTTGAAGATGGATGAGTTCGCCAGGTCATGTTAAAACCTGCGCACGACCTCGTCATCAGCTGTGCTCAGCTGCAGCAGGAGCCAATTTCCCTCGAAAGAGGAGCACATCGTTTGGGTACTTAAGCACATCGAGGTGGTGATAAGACAGTGACCCTGCAAGATCCCCAGTCTTACCCCCCCAAGCTCAAAGACAAACACAAATCCATCACTTGTGAAAACTGAGATTTTCGTCATCAAGTGTATGGTAGGAATACCTCTGCAACGTCCTGCTTTACATGCCCATCCATTCATTTCCACTCTGACCAGTTTCCATCTGTGGCCTTTGGCTACCTCTGTCCATCACATTGTCCTTTGTCGCTTGTCCGCCCACCATATTAGTTGCTCTCCCCAATGGTCACTGAGACTGCGAGAAAGACTGTTCCTCCCCTACCTCGAGTCTTGAAGTGTTTGATTCGACTCAGTTGCCTACTCTCTGTTTTTCTTAGGGAAACCTAAGGTTTAGTAAAAGATTGTGGTTTGGTTTTAAATAATACATCCGTTGTGTAACTTGAGTTAGATGAGTGAAATACTTAAGGTGAAATTCCATTGGTTAAGCTTGCTAAAAGATCACTATAGTTTAGTACTTTTGCTGTGTCACTTCAGGTGTGGTTTCACGCCTGTTTACAATATTTATGCGTGGATAATAAAATATTATTAAATATTAGCGGAAAATGTTAGACTAACATGTATATAAAACAGGTGACCGTTTACTCTGTCTTACCTGGAAGTCATCTGTGGGGAACTGTAGCATGTCCCGCAGCACATCGCTGATGATCTGGGTCTTCCTCTGCACAAGCACATTCTCGTAGTCCAGAGGCTCGATGATCTTCGGTTTTACCTGAAAGAAATAAAAGTAAATCAGTGCATCAGCAAGTGACAAAAAACGTAGCGAGGGCAGTTTTTGTTCCATTGAATCGCCGTCACCCTTTGGCGGATAATTGCACGCCTAATAAGGGGATCAGTGTTGCACGTCCGGGGCTACAGGCTGCTATTGTCTTTAACTGACAGCGGCGAGAAGGGGGTTGGCGCTGGACGGGTGGATGGACGGGCGAGGGTCTGCGTGCGCCGCTGTACCAGCCGCTGTGTCATGAGCTCACGATCACGAGCCCCCCCCAGTACCGGAGAAAGCCAGGACGCACGTTCCTCCCATACTAGTGAATCCGCACGCCGCGTTGTGGACAGAGGTGGCTTTGTGAGCGCCGGTGCGAGGCGGAAGTTCAGACAGCAGGGTCGGGAAAGAGAGATGGAGAGATTAAACTCCCTGGCTGACGTTCCACAGAAAAAAAAATAGGATTCCTGCGACTGGGCTGCTAGAAAAACACATCTTCTCGTATGACGGCGTGTTCAGATCCTGAGGAAGTAAACACAGCTTTGATCTATGTACCGCAGGGATGCATAGATATAAATTTACTGATTTGATTAAAATAATATCGTTCACCAGCGAAACAGGAAATCAAACATCAGTAGATAATGTTATTGTGTAGCCTCTGGTGGTTTGGTGCTTTTTCAACAACCAACTGTCCCCTAGGATCCAACAAATGAAGTGCATGGTTCCCTACAATGAATTGTCACCAGAGTTCCATCTTTCTGCACATTTGCCCATGCGGCCCGCCGGGCGTGATCCACGTTACTCGGATTAGCCTCTTCTGGGCCCAATGAGCACGTAACAACCCGAGGACGATCGGAGTCTGGGCTTTACGTTTCTCTGCTCCAGCCAATCCTCCCCGTGACCTCACTAAAATATCCCAGCGCAGCACTCGGCCCCCTTTTGGATGTAACAGATCTGATCTGATAAGCAGAAAAGCGGCCCTGGTTTCCAACTGGATGGTTGCCGTTCAGACGGAGGATAACGACAAGCAGCTGTGAACTGTGACACCGCGGTAATGATCTCGCATGAACGCGTTAAGGGAGAAAGGTGTGTGATGGAGTTTGACTTTGCTGTATAAAAGATACAAGATGCAAGTTAAACATCTGGATACGCCGAACCCAAACGGAACCGCACGTTGCATTCAAATAACATCTGCACTGTAAAGCAGCAAAGTGACTCATTATTAAGTTTAACATCTACATCTTAGAAAAAAAGGAAAGACCTCCACCTGCATCTTTTATGATTGAACCAACTTTGCCGCCGACTTGTCAGGCGCAGGAACAGTTAGTGAACAGGAGCCACAAGTGCTCCATTTCCTAAAAAAAGATCAACGTTCAACCCCCCTGGAGGGGGGTCTGCCCCGAAGCTGCTGTTCCCCCATTTCCGTCTCTGACGCTTTTACAGGAGAAAAGTCTTCAAAGCTGCTTTTGGAAGAGAGTCGGAGAGATTAAAAAAAAAAAGAAGAGAAAACGATCACGGCGCATGGGTTCCATTTGCAGAGCAGAGGAAGGAGAGAACATCCACTTCTATGTCTAAGACGGCCTAGTGCGCACTTACCGCTGCCACCTGCGAGCCGGCCTCCACCTCTTCCTCAATCTCAGCCAGGCTCTTGTACTGCTGCGGGGACTCTATCACCATCTCCCTTTTGGGGGCTTTGCCGGCTCGGCCCTGCATGGTGCTCAAGTCCTCCCCCGCACCACCACCACCCCCCCGCCTCCCCCCTCCCTCCCTCTTGCCCCTGGGCCTGCCGGTGTCCGGGTGTGCGACTCACTGCGCTGCCATGTTACCCTGCAAGCGTGTGCGTCCGTGAAAGGCAGGAAGAGCTCCTCGCCGACGTCCAGTGAGACTCCCTCTATTCTCACTCGCAGTAGCCCGGCCTCCCTCTGTCTCTCTCTCTCTCTCTCTCTCTCTCTCCCCCCCGCTCTGTCTCTCTCATCAGAAGGGCCCCTCCCACCCTTACAGCTGTGCAGATGTGTGTTTGTATGTACAGTACGTGAAGGGGAGCAGGGGAGAAATGGACCACTCCCCCATTAAAAACTTAAAAGAGGCCCAGAGATTGTGTTGTCATGCAACCTGCTCCACCTGCCTGCTGTGTGTGTGTGTGTGTGTGTGTGTGTGTGTGTTAAACATGTAAAGAAAAGGTTGAAAATATACATAAATAAGAAGAGATGAATTAAAAAATGAACAGCTGATGCAGTTTTTCAAAACTCGCCCGGGGCTTTTCTGTACTCTAATTTCTTGTTGTTTAAATGACAATTCAGTTCGTATTTTTAAATCTATGTTGCATTATGTTTTACTAAATTTAAAAGCGCAATGTTTATAACAGGCCAGCTGTTGTTTTCCCTGCAAATAAACTAATGATCCCAGTCGCTTCCACACAGTGAGGCATCCAGCTCGTTAGTGGAAGATAGCATTTCCTTCGGTGGAGAATTCCTTCACAATCTGATGATGTGACTTTGCCGGACGGATCCCATGTTGGACTGAAAAGCCGCTGAAGAGACTTAAAACAGGCGAACGCCCAATCTGTGTTGCTAAAGTTCTACTGCTCATTGATATTTCGCCGTGCTTTGAACTGGTGCTACTGCCGTATCCGCTGTGGCTCGCAGCGTGGTCAATGAAAACACTCTTATCCGGCTCTCAGGGCCCAGAAACACACACACACACACACATACACACACACACACACACTTCAGGGGCAGTTTGAGCTTCCTCCGTCCAGTCAGCATCCCCTTCGTTAATCTCCAAGAAAACATGAGGCGCCTCGGCTCGGCTGCTCCCTGTGGGAGCGCGCGCGCTTCCAAACGATGACATTTAAAGTTTTCAACGAGGCGTTAATGTGGGTCAAATTATGCAAATCCATTTCTTTTCTTTTTTTTTCTCCCCTCCGCTGCGTTGAACCCAACTCCCGAACCACCGTCGGTGTTTGCAAGCCTCTGAATCTCTCTGACGTAACGAGCGTGATTAATATCTCATCCAATTATCTCCATGGGCAGAGAAGCCTGTGCTCTCTTGAAAGAAAGGAAAGGGGGAAGTCAGAGAGCAGGGGGGGGGGGTGACACCCCACGGGTCAGGATGACTTCAAAGGCCTCTGCCACGGTTTTTCGGTGCGATCCCCCCAGACTAAATGTAGCACGAAGGGCGGAGGATGTGTGTGTGTGTGTGAGCTTTACTCTTTGCACTGCATGGCTCTCTGATGTGTGAGGCACTGTGAATGATTTGCATAGCTTGTTTTAACTGTACCCTCTTCAAAGGGACTTGCTGAAATGTACCATTCAGGGAAATAACTTGGCCCTTAAAAAACACAAGAAATCACACGGTGAAAGAAGGCTGTTCCACGGCACAGAGTCGGGTGGTGGGGGGGGACACGGAAGACGTTTCTGGAGCTGCAGGAACAAGCGCCACAAGACAAGCAGCAAAACCCAGAGGAAGCCAGCTGTGGAATGGCCGTCAGTGGGTGACTCCAGCGGATGAAGAGACAGAGCCTTTTTTAGGGCGTGGCCACCATGTGATCTACCACAGTCTCCAGCGGGATCCGAGTTGGAGAATCGGCTCAGGAAGGTTCTTGTAAGTGGCCGCCATGATAAAAGCTGTTTGAAGTCTCTAGATGCAAAGGAAAGGACCTTCGATGATTCCTTACTAGCTCCTTTAGGAACCACTGGGCCATCAGTTACATGAGTCCGCACTGTAACAACACATGCAACGTTAGCACACATTCTGCGGCGGGTGTACGGTTGTCCCGATAGGTGCATAATAGTCCCCCTTCTCATCTCTAAACTTTTGCAGTAGAACTGGCGGTAAATCTCTGAGGTTCTGAACAACAACCCATGTGCTCTTCGACGAAATGCTGACTAAGCTTCGTGGAATCAACCTCTTCTTAGCAGCAGTGAGATTCTGGGGTGTATTCAAGTATTTCAAGCCGACCAAACGCAACTCTCTGGCGTGACTCTCCGCTCTTTGGCCTGCGAAGGACCGCGGGGGGGCCTCAGAGACGGCGTCACCAGCTCGCCCGTGATAATCAGCCTCTTGTCAGAGACCCCGGCCTGCCAATGAGGTCATCCCGCTTCGCCCTTGTCTCCCTCTCGCGCTTCCTGGGGCCGTCGCCGGTGCCGCGCCGCAGTCGAGCTGGTGTCCGAGCGCGTGCGCGTGCGTCGGGGGGAGGGGGGGGGTGCAAATGAGTTTACAAGCCCATCTGCGTAAGAGCTCGCCGAGAGAAAAAAAACGAGAAAGAATCGTCAGAGAGGGAGAGAGTGAAGGGAAAGGATTTATGCACAGCCCGAACTCATTAGCAGATGTGAGCCTTCCACACCCTTCCCAAGAGGCGCACACTCACACACACACACACACACACACACACACAATGAGAGCGTCACACAAGTCTGGGGAGAATTGCATGAAGGGAAATGACGTAATTTTTGGGCGCCGACCATCACTGCAGGCACCCTGGGGAGAGAAAGTGTGAGGGCGTTGCGTGAAAAGAAGCGCAACTCCCCCATCAGACCGACCCGTGATGCACACACACACACACACACACACACACACACACACACACACACACATGCTATGTAGGAGAAGTTAAACGTGATACAGGAGAGGGGAGTTCCTCTGACGTCAGAGCTCTCAGCGGTGCTGATGGATCGAGTCGAGACTGCACAGACCAGCAGAAAGTCCCTGGGTTTAGTCCACGTAGGAACAGAACAGCCCATCAGGCTCCCGTCAACTTTACAAAAGCCAACAAACGTAGCAGGACTTCCAATATTGTACATGTGCATTCGAGTGTCCAATGCTCATGGGTGGATAAAAAAAGAAACGCTATCGGTGACCCGGACCCGTTAGAATCAACACTTGCGCTCTAACTACGCTGTTGTTTATTTTACTGGACAGAAGAGCGGGCCCCTGTTGACAGAGGGTGACCTCTGAGGGGTCGGACGGACGGGGAGTCCAACAGAGAGGAAGCTTTGGAGGCTTAGCTGTGCTTCCGCATTGCAGCTTCCTTAATGACCCGCACTCAGAGAGAGAAAGGTGCAAAAAAAAGCAGACTTGATGAGTTTTGCTACATTATGGGTCGATAAATTTAGTTGGCACACCTGACGGTTAAGACCACGTAGCAGACGCGGCATCTACGTCACCGTTTAAAAACAGTTTTGGACCGTTCACACTCCCCAGAGGTTAGGGTTAGGGTTTAAAAACCCCGGAGAGGTGCAGACGCCACTGGCATAAACATTCCAAACAGTATCCGCTTTCAGAGGGAAAGGTTGTGGCGTGGACGGTAGCGCCAGTGGAGAACAATGACATACAAAACTGACGCTCACACAGGCCGAACTAAAGGGGCGCTCACAATCTGCGCTCGGGTCGGGTTGTTTTTTTGGACCTTTTACACCAGGAGAATGTGATCCAATTGTTGTGCGGGAGGGAAGGGCTGCGGGAGGCCAACGGCAGCTCAATGGTCGTAAAGGAAACATTGAATCCAAAGGAGACGGCGGCTCATAGCGATTCTCGGTGGGCACTAGAGGTCCTACTTAACACCCTCCCTCGCCATTGATTGCCCATTAAATCTCTTTGATTTGCAGGGCGGGCTGCGAGGTAATGGAGCTAACTGTCGGGGGAAGTAGTTTAATGTAGCCGTCCATGAAACCAGAGCGGAGCACTACGTGGATACACACCGAGATTGTACTTAACTTTTTCCTAGAAACTGTAGCTGGATAATTAAAGAAAATCAGAAAAAGGATTCTACAGAGATAAACCGTCTTCGATAAACTTACTTCTGTATTTAATTTGCAGCTGTCATTTAGAGTGGTGCGCATTTTTAAAGAAACCAGAGAAATAAACAGGCGCAGCGTGTCAAAGTGGGTTTACCAGATGGGTGGTAGAAATACACGGTTGAGACCCCCACCGGCTCAGCGTCTCCCCGTCCTCCTCCAGAGCGCTCAGCTCCGCCGCCCCCTTGATGTAGCCGCAGTTCCTCTCGAGGATGGAGCGCAGCCCCTCCAACAGAACCGCGCTGGTGGTGCATCCCATGGTGACACCGAGCGCTCGCCTCCACCCACCATGCAGGAAAACGGATCTCACCACCGCGAGTCTAATTGTCAAACTCTTTGCAGGGCGGATGCACCGACTTGACCTCCGTCTGCAGGAAGATAAAGTCGCCTCACAGGTGTAAAAAAGTCACTGAGGGATCAGTTGCCCCAGGGGGGGGGCGGGGGGAGGATCCGCCAATCGTTCCCGCTCGCAATGCAACCGATACCTTCTGAAAGCCCCCAAGACGTGTCCCCCCCCAGCGGGGATGGAGGGACGAGCACTCGGAGGAGAGAAGCTGCTCACTCAGCCGAAGAAGGGCGTTCCTTTCCTTCTTCCTGGGGAGAGGATGGGGGGGCGGCGGCGAGGATGCTCACACGCTCCGGCTTTGCTCTCTCTCCCACTGACTCCTCTTCTTCTTCTTCTTCTTCTTCTTTCGCTGGATCGCTTTCCCTCCCTCTTCTCTCAGCCTCGCCGTCTCTCTCTGTCTCTCTCTCTCTCCGTCGTTCAATCACGCCTACCACTCTCACTTCTCCTCCCCTCCCTCCCCCCCTCCTGCCCCGTCGCTCTTACAGCTTAGTCACTCTCTGGGTCCGCATGCTTTGTCAACAGTAAAAGCGCCGCGTTACCAACAAAGACGCACTCACGCACACGCCGGGCTGCTGCTGACTGCTTCTCTCTGCCCCCTCTTTTC